TATTAGTATTGAATTTCATTCTATCAACAATATTTCTACAATAAAACTACATATCATTTGTAGCTCAATATGAAATTCAGAATTTCAATATTTCTACAAATTAACTACAAATATCTACAAAAAATAGTTCATAATAGTATTTAGTTTTATTTTATTGCAGGTTCATCTGGAACACTAAAGTTAATTGATATTCCAACATCTCCGGTGCTAGTGGAATATGAAAGTATAATAATAACAGAAAGTACACCAAATGTTATTGAAGTAGGCCAAGTATACCAAGACAAGCAAACAATTGCAAGTGCAATGAAACACTATTATGTTATGAACAAATTCCAATGTAGGGTGAAAAGATCTAGTGCTAGAAGGTAGGAACATATGAATGGTCAAAAATCATTTTTTTATTTGGTTGTTTATTTGTAAATTTTTACTTCTTCAAGTTATTTGTAAATCATTTGTTGCGATTTGTACGTCAATCAGTGGTTGAGAATATTGTAGGCCAGTTGTAGTAGTTGATGGGACATTCATTAAAGTCAGCATACATGAGAATAATGCTAATAACTAGTACAATGGATGCAACAGGTATTGTAGATTTATTGTAGTTATATTGTAGAAATATTGTAGCTTGTCTGTTTTTTGTAGTACTTATAAATTTATTGTAGATATCTTGTTGAAAGGTTGTAGTTTGTATGTATATGTCTTCCTATGCATTTTTCATGCAGCCAATTAATTGTTTTTTGCCACATAATGTAGGTACCATATTACCATTGGCATATGCTGTTGTTGATTCAGAAAATGACGCATCATGGAAGTGGTTTTTTGAGCAATTCAAACATGCATATGGTGAAAGACCAAATATATGTGTTGTTTCGGATTGCAATGAGAGTATCTTGAAGGCAACATCTATTGTTTATCCCAACATGCCACATTATTCTTGCATGTGGCATATTTGGACAAATATAATGGCAAAGTTCAAGAAGGGTCATCTAAAGTAAGCGAATTGTACTTTGCCATGGCACGATCATACACGCTTGATGAATTTAATGAAGGATGTCAAAGATTGAAGAGATTGACCCCTGTGTTAAATCATACTTATACGATATTTTCTATCATAGATGGTATCGAGTACATGATACGGTGAACAGAACTTGGACTATGACATCAAACATTACAGAGTCGTTGAATGCTGTAACAAAAGATACAAGAGAGCTGCCGATAGTAGAACTATTAGAGTATATGAGGACTCTTCTTGAACGTTGGACTAATGAAAAGTTATTGAAAGTAAAGGGTACATTCACATACCTTGGGTTTAAATTCAACAAAGAGTTGGATGACAACAGAACATTGTCGCACAAGCTTAGAGTAAAATCTGATCATTTATTGTATCAAAATAAAATATTAAAAGAGAATGTAGATAATTTGTAGATATTTTGTATTTAAACGTATATGAATTATTTTTTGTTTGTAATGTAATTGTAGGTGAGGGCTTCAACAGATTACATCCATACAATACTAGATGGTGTGAGGCGCTATATTGTTTGTCTTGAAAACAAGAGATGTAGTTTTGGGCAATTCCAGCTTGATGAACTTCCTTGTCCACATGCTTTGGCTGCTTTAAGGCACATGGATGAGTCTTATGAACAATATTGTTCTCCTTATTACACAAGGGAGAGCCTCTTCCGTACTTATGAAATACCAGTAAATCTCCTACCTGATGAAAGCAAATAGAATGTGCCACAACATATAACTGAAGAAGTTGTAAATCCACTTTCTGGTGGGAAAAGACACCCAGGAAGACCTAAAAAACAAAGATACAAAACATATGATTATGAAGTAAATTCAAAGAAGTACAAGGTTTCATGTGGCAACTGCAGATTAGAAGGGCATAACAAAAGATCTTGCAAGAATGCTCCCAAAAAGAAATAAAATTTTATGTAGTAAACTGAATTTTTCATAAAAATTGTTGATGAGTTCAGCAGAATTATATTTGATGTGTAATAGTTGAGGCACCTTCAACTCTTAATGTAGTTAGTTTGAAATTATTTTGTTTAATTAGTATTCTGTATTGATTTAATACTTTCATAGCTTGATTGGTTTGTGAATGATTTCTATATATGTAATACATAATTGTTTTATTATCTTTAGCATCCATCGATAGTTGTTCTTGGCCTTCTCCAATTTATCTACAAAAAAACTACAAAATAACTACATAATCTGGAGTTGACAGAGCAACTACATAATAATTAAGTTGAAAAGGAGTTAACCAGTAACAATAATTAGATCAAGTAATGTTTACTTTCAACAAGTGAATATAAAAACAACAGAATATTTCCCCATTGATCGAACTAGTATACTGGATAAAATAAAAAACAAAGGGTAAAATAATTGTAGCACAAATCTGCTCCAATTAAACTTCAACAAACTTGTTCATAAAGTTGTCTACTATCTTTCTACAAAACTAGCTGCAACTAAATAATTTAACTACATGTTCCATATAAAAAATGACAACTAATTCTTCTTCCTCAAGACTTGTGTTTTCTCGTTCATAACTGGTGCGCCTTTTTTCCTTGCTAATTTGCCAGTCACCTCACTTTCACTAATTGCACCATTCTCTTGCTTCTTCCTAGCGTAATCCCACAGTATTGCTCCATAGCGTCTATGATGTTGATCAATATTAGAAAGGCCATCCGTAGGAACTGCTGGGTCTCCAATGCTGACATACTCTGCAAAGGCAGCAACATATACACCACAGTCGCTGCAAAAATAAAAAAGTGTCAATATTTAGCAAATAATGAACAAAAGAAATGTTAAATAGATAGAAAGAAATAAGATTTTTCATATAGTGATTCTTCTTTTTCCTGTGGTATCTCTCCTACGATCCACTGAATGTCAATGAGGTCGGTAACAACTTTTTTAATGTATGCCTTTGTGTTCTTGAAGTTGATGTCTGAACGCTTGCCATAAAAACCGGTGCATGACAAGTAAAAGGAGATCAACAGAAAACTTGGTGACTACGGATTCAACAATAGAGTGATTATGTGAAGAGACCATAGAATCATACACATAAAGAACCCTATCGGCAATGTCAAAAACAACCAACACCTAGTGAAATTTTTCTACAATGTTGACGGGCATGATCACATAATCAACTTGATCCCATGCAATATTTGCCAGTAATCTGTACCCCAATATGTATTCTGCTACGACGTCCTAGGGTTTGGCAACGTCAAACTTCTTTTCTTGAGGAGAATTGATGAACTTATTAGAAATTTGTTCAATTCTAGTCTTGAACAAACAATCAGTAGTAGTAAATCTTATCTTATTGTGGGGCCATACTTTCCTCTTTTCCTCAAGTAGTACATTATAACGTCAATGTGCTACAACAAAAACAGACTGCATTTAATTTATTCCTTTTGGTAATTATCTACAAAAAATCTACAATTACATTTTGTTTTAAATCAGTATTATAAATTATCTACAGAATATCCACAAATAAACTACAATTTTATTTGTTTTTAATCATTATTACAAATTATCTACAATATATATACAAACTAAGTACAATTCCGTTTGATATTAGGCATTAATACAAATTATCTACAAAACATCTACAATATACCTACAATTCAGTTTGTTGTTAAGCATTTATACAGAATATCTCCAATATATCTACATAATAACTACATATACTCGAATGGCACTATAGCAGTGTTATAGATACAAATAAAAAAAACTTCAATAAAATAACTACATATTTTGAGTATGAGTTTACCGTGTGGTTGAGGACTTGTCCGGGGTGTACCATATTATAGAACCACTCCTTCTTATCAATCTTTTCCACTCCATAATCAAACCATGGCTTAATTTTGTTATCCTTTATAGATACAGAGCCTTCCCCCTATTTAAACAAATAGAAATTAAAATAAATTTGTTGAATGAAGTAGATATCTAAAAGATGAATACTGGAATCAAAGGGTGAAATTGTGAAAACTAACCTCTTTGAAGTTGTGTCGGTACCAAAGTATAACCACTTGTTGAATTCTTGCAACAACTAAGGATCAACATCTTGACCAATAACACTAGTAAATAGGTGCTTCAGGTGAAAAATTGGAGGTCCAACCGAAGTGTTGCCACCAGAACTGTATAAAGGGAGAAATGGTGATCGGGCATGCTTTCCAGACTACCTTATTCTACTTTGATACACAGGTGTTGTTTCATCTTGGTTAGGCTTGCTGGACTTATCCAACCGGGAGAAGTTATCTGGCAGCTCAAAATCATCAAGTGTAACCTCCTTCTTCTCACCTCTAGAGTTGTCTGAATCACCTACATTTACATACTCGGCTTCTTCACCTACATTAACATCTTCCTTATTCTTCTGTTCTCCTTGAATTATTATTGTGACTCCGTGAATTGGAGATTGTGCATGCATATCTTCCCTTACTGTTAAATTTAGTACATCTAACTTAATAGAATAGAAAAAAATTGAAATATGTAACGATCCGACCAGTCATTTTGAGCATTTGTACTTCGCTTGCCAGTTCTCGGGCATGACTAGCCCTGTATGATGTATTATGATCTATATAAATCGTCGGTTTTGGTTTTCAGGATAATCGGAATAGATTTGGAAGAATAATTCTCAACTTGAAGCTTTAAATTTGAAAGATTTGACCAAGTTTTGACCTTTTAGTATTCGATGTCAGATTTGGATTTCTATAATTTGGTTAGCTCTATTAGGTGATTTTGGACTTGAGAGCGCATCCGAAATATATTTTGGAGGTACGTGGTAGATTTAGGCTCGAATTGGCAAAATTGGAAATTTGGCATTTCCCGGTATGTAGTGAAAATTTTTAGGTCAGAATGGAATTCCGGAATTATAGTAGGTCTGTTGTGTCATTTGTGACGTGTGTGCAAAAATTCAGGTCATTCGGACGAAGTTTGATAGACTTTTTGATCGAATTCGGAATTCGGAAGTTTTGGAATTCTTAGGCTTGAATCCGAGGGTGATTCGATGTTTTGATATTGTTTTGAGTATTCCGAAGGTTGGAACAAGTTTGAATGATGTTATGGGGTGTGTTGGCATGTTTGGTCGGGGTCTCATGAGGCTCGGATAAGTTTTGGAAGATTTTGCCGTTTTGACCATAAGCATGTAATGATCCAAAGGTCCATTTTTAGTTCTAGAGATCGAAATTTGATTTCAATACTTTTGGAATTTTGATAATAAATTATAGGAGTGATTTGGAAAGTTTGGTCTAATTTCATCAAGTCGTGATTGGGTTTTTGATGCGAAACATGAGTTAATTGTTTAACGAGCAAAATGGGTATCGCACTGAGCTAATGAGCTCCGAATTAAGTTTCGATTGAAGGGCTATATTCGTATTATTATTTGTGACTCATAGGAATAAGAATCATTGAATTCCAAGTTCATATGGTGGAATTAGAGCCTTTTTAGTGAAAATAAATATTGCTGGTGCAACAGGATCTGGTGCGCACCTTTAGCGACCAGATTTGGCACTTTTAGCGATGGGAATGGGGCTTTTAGCGACTAGAATCGTGTTTTATTGAGCTGTCTTGTTTTTTTTAGCTCATTCCCACATTTTTGGGTGAAAAGAACGCGGCTTGGGGCGATTTTTGAGCAAGAAGTCATGGGAAATCTTGAGGTAAGTCACTTGTGATCATTTCTACTCCATAATATTGAATTATCATCGAATAATCAGACTAGATTACATGTTTTTGAGGTGTAAATTGGGGATTTGGACCTAGGTATATGAAGATTTGGAGGCCGAATTATTATCGGAATTTAGTAATTTTGGTATGGTTGGACTCGTGGTTGAATGGGCTGTCGGATTTTGTGATTTTTATCGGATTCCGAGACGTGGGCCCGAGGGGTTGGGTTTGGCCAATTTCGGAATTTTTGATGTAATTTGATAATTTTCGCTTGGGCTTTGTTCCTTTAGCATATGTTGATGATAATATACTGATTTTGGTTAGATTTGGAGCATTTGGAGGCCGATTCGAGAGGCAAAGGCATCGCGGGTTAGAGTTTAGACTAGATTGAGGTAAGTATGATTGTAAATGTTATCCTGAGGGTATGAAACCTCGAATTTCACATCGTTGTGCTACTTTGAGGTGAAGCACATGCTAGATGACGAGTGTGGGGTCGTGCACCATTTGGGATTGTGACTTAGTCCATCCTGTATGATTGTTAAGTCGCGTATTTGATTGAAAACTGTTTGATATCATTGTGTTTTGGAAATTATTACCTTGTTTTGGGCTGAATGCTTTATTTGGGCTTTGTGCCAACTCTTTTGGATCCTTAGGGTACTTTTACTACTATTCCTTACTGTTTTGACTTCATATTTGTACTCAGTCATGCTATATTCTACTATTTTCATAACTCAGCCATATTTACTCATTTTTGATATTTTAAATGATGTTTTGGGGCTGAGCATCATGCTTTACTGTTGCCCGAGTGGCTTGAGAGGTTTCTGACTAAGCGAGGCCGATGGCCTGTGTTGTGAGGATATTATGGGATCAAGTTGCACCCCGCAGCAAGTTGTTATTGATTCATGATATTGTGAGGCTGAGGGCCTGATTGATTTATGCCATGAGGTGGCATATTGTTATGAGGCCGAGTGCCTGTTTGATTATGCCACGAGATGGCTTGTTATTGCGCTTGGGCTGTAAGGAGCCCCTCCCGGAGTCTGTACACCCTCAGTGAGCGCGGGTAC